TGAGGAAACACCTCAAGTGATGGTCGAAAATGAGGACCAAGCGGACGATGAAGAACAAGAGGAAGCCCAGGAACAAGAGGAAACCGAGCTTCCCATCGCTTGGAGAACGCACAAGAACCATCCACTTGACCAGGTAATCGGCAGCATCAACCGCGGGGTAAGTACTCGTAATTCTCTTAGGGACACCGTAGGTCACATGGCTTTTGTTTCTCAAATTGAACCTACAACCATTTCCGAAGCAATAAACGATGAACATTGGACCTTGGCTATGCAAGAGGAGCTAAACCAATTCAAACGGAATGACGTTTGGGAATTGGTGCCAAGGCCCGATGATCGTACGATTATTGGTACGAAATGGGTGTTCTGTAACAAACTTGATGAAAATGGAATAATCACTAGAAACAAAGCTAGGCTCGTAGCTAAAGGCTACAATCAAGAAGAAGGCATTGATTTTGAGGAAACCTATGCACCCGTAGCACGTTTAGAAGCTATTCGTTTACTTCTTGCTTTTGCTTCGTCTATGGATTTTAAACTTTATCAAATGGATGTTAAGAGTGCCTTCCTCAATGGTTTTATTCAAGAGGAAGTGTATGTTGACCAGCCCCTGGGGTTTGAAGACTTTGAGTTTCCCAATCATGTCTTCAAACTCAAGAAAGCGCTCTAAGATCTTAAACAAGCACCCCGTGCTTGGTACGAACGTTTGAGTAAATTTCTTTTGGATAGTGGTTTCCAAAGGGGAAAGGTAGACACCACACTTTTCAAGTTTATGTAGACGATATTATATTCGGTGCTACTAATGAGTCTTTGTGCAAGGAATTCTCAACGCTAATGACTAGCAAATTTGAAATGTCAATGATGGGCGAGCTCACATTCTTTTTGGGACTCCAAGTCAAGCAAATGAAAGATGGCATGTTCATTTTCCAAGCTAAATATTGCAAGGAGCTCCTAAAACGATTTGAAATGGACAACGCCAAAGCCATGGCGACCCCGATGAGCACGTCTGACCATCTAGACAAAGACGAGAAAGGTAAGGAAGTAGAAGTCAAAAAGTATTGAGGTATGATCGGATCCCTTCTCTATCTTACCGCTAGTAGGCCGAATATCATGTTTAGCGTATGCCTTTGCGCAAGGTATCAATCGCGTCCGAAGGAATCGCACTTAACGGCGGTGAAACGGATCATGAAATACCTTGTCGGCACGGTTAACGTTGGACTGTGGTATCCAAAAGGCTCTTCTTGTCATCTCGTTGGTTACTCCGACTCGGACTTTTCCGGTTTCAAATTGGATCGTAAAAGTACGAGTGGGACTTGCCACTTACTTGGTAGCTCTTTAGTTTCATGGTTTAGCAAGAAACAAGTCAGTGTCGCGTTATCCACAACCGAAGCGGAATATGTAGCCGCCGGTAGTTGTTGTGCTCAAATCCTTTGGATGAAGCAACAACTCATGGACTATGGCCTTAGTATCAATCACGTCCCTCTTCGTTGTGATAATACTAGCGCAATAAGCTTGACAAAGAACCCCATTCTTCACTCAAGGACGAAACACATTGACATTAGGCATCATTTCATTAGAGATCATGTTCTTAAAGGTGATGTCGAAATTGAGTTTGTTGAAACACACAACCAATTAGCCGACATTTTCACAAAACCTTTAGAGAAAGAGTCGTTCTTCCGCATTTGAAGTGAACTCGGAATCCTTGACTCCACGATGATCTAAGTTGTGCATCTAAACTTATTAAACATTTACTAACATGAGCGTCGGAGAACTTTTTCTTTTTTTGCAGGTACCCCGTTCATGAAATCAGGGGGAACCATGCAAACAACGATGTCCAGGAGACCCAACAGCGATGTTGAGAGAAACAACGTCAACCAAAAAGTTTGCCAACAGCACTGTACACGAGGCCAGCAGCGCTGTCCCAGGGAGTTCCCTTTCCCTTATACCTTGTTTTCAAACAAAACCAGAAAGTTTTCCAACAGCGCTGTGCACCTTTGCAACAGCGCTGTCCACTTTTACAATTTTTTTCCTCTATCGTAAAATAGCGATGTAGAGAAACCCAACATCGCTGTTCTAATGGGTTCAAACCCTTACACAATTCTAGAAACTTTTGGAACATCGCTGTAGGGTACTCAACATTGCTGTCCTTTTGACTCCTATTTTTTGAAAAACTTGACGCAGAACAACGATGTACAAGGCACAACAGCGCTGTCCCAACAGCGATGTCGCCTGTAGAACATCGCTGTTCAGTCAAATTTTTCAAAAAAAATACCCGTTGGCATGGGCATTAATTACTCCAACAGCCATTTTTTTTTTTGAATTTTGAACGTTGGAACTCTCTTCTCCTATAAATTGGAGCATCCTCTCCTCACTTTTCCACACACAAACACAAATCTCTTCATTCCCTTGCATATTTTTGTCTTCTCTAATCCTTTTTTTTTAGAATTCTTCATCATGGGCAAAGATAAGAACAGGGCAGGAGCTTCCAGCAAATCCAAAGCCAAATCCCGGGCACCGGCAACCAACTCCGAGGAGCGCCTCTACTATAGCGACGGATCGTACCTCTAGTTCGATTCCGAGGAGGAGCGCACTCGCTTTCTCACTTTCTTCTCTAAAGGGGTTGTGGCTCCCCCACGGATCATCCCAGAGCGCTACCCGGAGATGCAGGGCTACGACGACCTCGACGCGCAGCTTCATCAAGCCGGCCTTTGGCCGTTCGTCTCCCGGGCGCGAAAGGAGATCAACCCGGTGCTGATCCGGGCCTTCTACTCCAACCTCCGGCGTGAGGACGACGTGCTCTACTCGCTTGTCAAGAGCACACCGATCGAGCTCACCATGGAGCAGCTTGGGCGCATCGCCGGCCTCCCCTTCCAAGGCGAAGACGTCTCCCACTATGGCGGAGAAGACTGGGTGCTCAACAACGAGGGTAATATCCTCAACGAGCTTAGCATCACCGAGCTCATCCGCCATGCCTCGGGCCGCCCCACCATCCACTCCGCTAACCCCGAAGGCCGTCTCGTTCTCTACATCGTGTCCCGGATCATCAAACCCCGGAAGCATGGCCACACAATCATGTCCGGTGAGGACCTCAAGCTCATCCACGCGATCATGCACTCGGCCCCAATCAATTGGGCGAAGTTTGTCATGATCAACATGACAATCGCCGCGTCCACCGACCACGACCACCTACTCCCGTACCCGCTCGTGGTTATGGACATCCTTGAAAGGTTCAAGGTAACCACCACCGTTGGCCCGCTCACGAAGGCCACGAAGCTTTGGACGATCAGCGCCCAAACCTTCACAAAGCGGTCGGACAACGCCGCGCCACGCCGCACTACCCCTGTCGCCGGCCCAGCCGAACCCCAGACCCGGGCCAACCTCGCCTCCATCGCCGACTCCCTCAACCGGCTACACTTCAAAGTTGACGGGATGGATGGCTACCTTGAGCGGCTCGACGAGGCGGTCCAACGCCAAGGGTACGCCATGAACGCGTACTTCCAACGCGTTAACTACGTCCCCCCACCGTACCATGGCACATTCTTTGGGCAAGTGTACAGTGACGAGGACGAAGACGATGCCTCCTACGCCCCGTCAAGCTCCCCGGACGAAGATGAGTTCGAAGATGCCATCGATGGGGATGCGATGGACGTCGACGACGACGAGGAGGAAACCGAAGACGAAGACTAGGACACCCCTAGAATTTCTATCTCTCTTTATCTTTGTCCTGTTTTTTTTCATTAATCTCTTCCGTTGTACTCCGCTATTTCCCATTTTTAATAAAATTTTATCTTTTTGTTAATGTCAAAAGGGGGAAGAAAAGGGTTATGCATACACTAAGGGGGAACGTCCCTAAAAACGGGATCGTTTGATTTTAATATGACAAGTTTTTAAGCACAAATTAAGGGGGAACTTTTTCACTCTTTTCAAATTCAAATATCCCTTAGTATGCATATCCCCGTCTTGTTTGCCATTATCAAAAATGGGGAAATTGTTGGAACACGGGTTTAAGCCTATGTCGTACTAAGCCGTGTTCGTTTTATGACAGGTTTTGATAATGCCAAACCGCCGTGACAATAACAAGGTTAAACTGAGCAAAACCAAGGCGAAGGAACATGTCATGATGAACTGAGAACCAAGAACCAAGAATCAAGAACGAAGACTTAGAAATATATTGAGTCGGTTTTAATGTGATCAAGACCGGCACAAACTTTCAAAACATGGCTCTCTAGGCTCATTTTAGCAAAATATTTTTTGCATATTCAAAATGGTTTTCTTAAGTCCTAAACCTGCCTGACAACACTTGGAGTTCGCCCAAACCAAAAACCAAGCCATCCGGCGTTCAGTCTTCGGAAACCGGCGTTCAGCTTTCGGTTATCGGCGTTGGTTTTTGGCGTTCGAACCAACCAAGTGGTTTTCAACTTTTAATGATTGGTTTTTACTTCTGGGCATATTTAAATAGTTCTCCAACAAAAACGCTTCAAAAACCACCTTTCGTTTTTGGTCGTTTAGTGAAAACCATGCGAAACGGCGTAAACTTGGCTAGCCGTGGTTTTCAACTAAATGACGTGGTTTTCAAAATGTTTTACTTTATTTCTTAGCAAAATGCATTAAAAAAACATTTTCGGTACTTGGTTTTTATTTTGGAGAACTTACATTTTTGACATCGATGTTGGTGTAACCAACAGCGCTGTCTGGATTGGGGAGCTGAAAACCATGGTTTGGCGTTAAGTCTTCCAACAGCGATGTTGGATGTTAGACATCGCTGTTGAGCCAAGGTTGGATTTCCATAAACTTCTGGAACAGCGATGTTGACCCAGCAACAGCGCTGTCAGGCCAAACTTCCATCTTCAAAAGTCAGACCAAAACAGCGATGTTCAAGTAATGAACATCGATGTAGGGACCTGACCGTTGGAAGGAATTTAAGGCTAAAACTTTCCTTGTTTGGAAGTCAACAGCCAAAACAGTGATGTAGGGGTATTGGACATCGCTGTTGGCATGACCGTTGCTTCCCAATTTTCAAAATCCAAGCCTAGAACAGCGATGTCCAAGCCTAGGACAGCGCTGTCTGGGTGAATTTCAACAGATCCAAATTTAATCAAATCCCACAAATTGTGCCAATCACCCCTTAAATGCTTTGGTCCGTTGGAGCCTATTTTTCCACTATAAAATGGGGTGTTTGGGTCTGTTTTACACATCACATTACTTCACAACTCCTACTCTTTCATTGCAAATCATTCATTCTTTATTCATAGCTTTTTGAGAGCCACTTTTGTGAAGCTTGTGTTGCGTTTTTGAGCGTTCTTAGTTACTCATTATCCACTCTAAAAGAGAGTATTGTTCTTGAGTGTTTTTAGTGTTCTTAGACACTTGACAAGAGAAAGTATTTCTCTTGTTGTTCGAAGGAAGAGCTGTTTCCTTTGAGGGTTCGTTGAGGTTCGTGTGACTCGAACTCTCAAGTTGTACGGGTTTGTTAAGCACCGTTAAGCTTAACGAGATAGTAGTGTAGCTCGAGAGAGTCTCTCGGGAGGCTGGATTAGCCACAAGTTGTGGTGAACCAAGTTAAAATCGGTGTGCCTCTTACTCTTCTCTTTACTTCTCGTTTTCTCACTTTTTATTCCTGCGATTTTTTGATCAAACGCTATTCACCCCCCATCTAGCGTTGGTCTATTATTCTAACAATATCAAAGTGATTGGCCTTAGACTAAGAATAGTTTAAGGATATTGTTAAATGACAAATGATGAATATACATGTTGAATGATTGAATAATGAATGTTGAAAATTGAATGTTGATTATTGAATATCTGAACTGAATATTATGTGCATGATATCAAATGGTTTATTATGAATTGAGATTCAATTTATGTGGATGTTTGACGCATTAGATATGCTTATTCAGCTTTACCGCTGAGCGTGTAGTGTGTTTTATTTGCTACACGCAGGTCAATAGAATGATGTGACGTGATCCTGGAGGCAGACGGAGGCGAGATAGTCAGAATGGATGTGATGGTTTTGAATTAAAGAATATAAATAAATTATGTTTGTGGTTATGATTTGTTAAGCTTCCGCAATATTGAAAACTCTGTACTGTTTATGATATGAAAAATATTATTATGATAAATAAAATTGTTTGAAAAGTTTTAAATTTTACGATTACCAAGTTAATACTTTAGGCCGAAAGGGGCTGCAGACCTGGACGGATTAAGGTGTTACAAATACAATATAAACTTATGATATTTTATTAAAATGCAAAATAAGAAAAATACAAAAGAAGGGAGGACTAGGCCAATGCCCCTCTAAAAATGCAAAGGAAAAGTTATTGAAAAGAAAAAAAATTAGGATGGGTTGTGGTTGCCACGTCTACCACGCCTTCCACGCCCCTTCCCACGGGTGTTGTGGCCACGCCCCGCATATGGAGCACGACCACTACATGTTTGGATCGTCATGACAAGTGGTTCTTTATAGCAGGTGGGAGTTTCTGGATTGCTATCTTCAATAGATTCATTTTCATCAGGGTCTTGTAGGACTTCGAAGAGATTTGCATCAACAGGTTTGGGAGCTTTTCCTTGTATTGATTGAAAAGGAGCTTTTGGTTGCATGGAGTTGAGTTGTTCGTGTCCTCGTTTCAGTCTACAATTTGCTCCGTGAAGCTCAAATTCAAGAATTCTTGTAACGAAGGGCTGCTTCGTTGTTTGGTGGTCTTGATATACCTGCAATGAGACCTAGGCTCATAGGAAATGTTAGTATTATCCTGGGTGTGGGGTGAAACCGATTCTTCCTTGGTGGGAGCATCATTACCGGCTTCGTCATCTTTTCTGGTGTGGACTTTGTTGTGGGTAGATGGATCAGAGTAAGTATCATCATTTCCAGTGGGGGGTACCGTAGGGACTGGTGGAGTGCCATCCGAGGACTCACAGTGAGTCTCGTGTGCTTTCATATTTCCAGTGGCATGATTTAGGTCGTACCCATCATTTTGAATTTGGGGAGGATCCGGGGAGGCAATCCCTATTCATCGGGATAGGAGGGTCCCTCTATTGTGAATTCCAGCCCACATGGACCAGCTAGTAATGGGTTGTCATTAGTATCTTTTTTTTGAGGACATTCCAAATAGGAAGCATCCAAATTAGCATCAGTTGGGAGGGTAGAAATATAATACTGTCCAAACTTGTATGGGGAGGTCAATTCAAGGTCTCAAAATAAGCATCTGTTTGGGGGGCCGAAGCAATACTGTCCAAACGTGATGGATTATCATTCTTGTTCATTGTAGGGCAGGCCCCAATGTCCTTTGTTGTGATGTGCTGGTGACCAGGTTCAAGGCTACCAAAAGTAATTGGGGAGGTAGAGGTTGGCACAGTTGAGCTGCTAGGAAAGCTGACTGGCTAGCTAGGGGCCTCATTTACATCCTTGCCTCTAGGCTTTGATTTCCTAAACCAGCGAGAGTTTCTGGATCCTGATTTGCAGGATTTGTGACCCAATTGATGGCAAGAGTTACAATAGGATGGCAGATTTTCAAAAGTCAGGGGTTGAAGGTAGGAGGAGCTGCCTAAGTGTATCCAAATAGCCTTGGGATGGGAAGTTCCTTTGAAAGGTTAACCTCCACATAGACTATGGCCACATTAGGCCTACTCAAATTCACACTGGTTGCATGTGTTTGCAGTGGTGAGCCAAAGAGTTTGGCAATGGTGAAAAGGGTGGGTTTGTCAAAGAGATGGATTGGCAATCCCTCTAGCCCTACCCAAACTGGGACTAGAGGGGATTCCACTGAGGGGTCGAAATCTGCAATCCATCGAAAACACACATATAAGATGAACCTATAGTCCATCGGTTTCTTAATAAACAACGGAGAAAACCAGTTTCAGATTCAAATTGCAACAGAACATGAGATTCATCAAGTAAACCCAATTTGAACGAATCTGAGAACCCAATTTTCTCAAGAGTCTTACGGATTAAAATAAGAGGACGCCTTTTCTCGCTAAAACTACCAACTAGGGATCGATGAAACTTACCCGATAATCTATGGATCTCCTCATCAGAGAATGAAATCGAGGGCAAGCCCTTGAATCTCGCTGTCGGATGTTGAGGTCAAACAACATCTGCGAACGAACAATCGCACATCGCTGAATCTTCAGAAATGCCATAGTTGATGGAGAGGAGCTTTAGTGAGAGAAAATGCCATTATATATTATACTTACAATATAAACTTATGAATATGAGAGTATATAACTAGAAACACAAGCTCAAAGTGTGCGTATAAAAATCAGGAATTTAAGGCTCTTGAAATAGCCAAAAAATTGAAAATAATGAATAAAAGAATGAACACACTTAGAATATAAAAGGATGATGTTTGGAGCTTTGTTTCTTGAAAAAATATGAAGGATTAGGTTTCTATTTATAGTGGAAGATGTTAATTAGCTGTTGGGAGGTGATTATGGTTGATTTAATTCAAAATCACAAATCAGGAACACTAACCCCACGGTCACGGTATGCTAGTACCATCCTCACGGTAGAATGGTACCGTGCGTACGGTAGGGGGTACCGTGAGTGGCGGTACCTTGGTACCGTGCGCCACTAAAAATCCATTTGGCTCTGACGGTACATAGTGTCTAACGGTACTAGGGTACCGTGTTGGCGGTATCCCTACCGTGTAGGCGGTAAAGGGTACCACTTGGGTTACCGTGGCTCTGTTCTGATTTTTCCAAAATTTCTCTTAATCCTTTGTGTTTGAGTTTCAAAACCTTTTAGATATTTGAAAATGTTTATGGTATGGTTTTAAACATATTTTGTGAGTGCTTTTGAGCTTGTGAATATAGGTATATAAAGTCATATCCTTACAT